TACGTGAAAAGATATATGTACATTAAAACATCTTAAGAATCATAACTAACCTAAGAAATGAAAAAAAATTTAAGAAATTTCAAATTAAAGCAAAAATAGATTTTTACTCATAATTTCACCACAATGTATATTCCAGAACAAAAAATTCTTGGATTAATTAAATGATGTTGAATAACTAGACATTATGATGAACTAATTTGATTTATTATATGAATTTTGAGTTGAAATTGTTAAATCCGCAGTGTTTTTGATAAAAAAAAATTTTATTATGCAATCAATTTCTTGACATCATGACGACATGTTAATAGGGAAAAACTAAATTTGTCCCATTAACAAAGTCAAATTTTCACTTATGTATGTCTTTTAATAAGAAATTAATCATTATGTGATTAATTATATGTCTAAAGTAAAAGCTTAAAAGCAATCACACATGGAGTAGATTACTGAATAGTAAGAATTAGAGTACTACTTTATTGTTAATGAGATTCAAATAATTACACTAGACAATAGATATTAACCAAAATTGTCTACTAAAAGATCATCAAATTAAAAAAGTAAAGTTTTTATAAGTTAGTGATAATGTGTTGATTTATTTATTCTTGAAAATCATGATATTGAAATTGAATATGATGATGATGGTGCATTGATTTTGAAAGATTAAAAAATATTTTTTTAATGAAGAATATCAAACCTCTCTAAATAAACTTGAGTAAAATATTCTATGAAGAGTGAGATACAATCACCGTTGTTAACAAGACTTGGAAGTTAATGAAGCTTTCAAGAAATTAAACTTTAATTTATATCAAATGGATGAAAAAACTGAAATATAATTTTGCACATGACAAGAAGAAACTTTTCAGAATCAAATTGGTGATTAGAGGTTTTATATATAAAAAAAGGAGCTACAAAAAATTATTTTTACCTGTAGCAAAATATGTTTCAATTTGATTAACATGTGAACTTATTGCAATATTTAGTCTGATAATGGATAAAATGCATGTAGTTACAATATTTGTCAATAAATCTCTACAGTAATAAATTTATTAGCGACAATTTGTTGACTTTAAGAAGAAAGATCAATAAAATGTGGTTTGTAGATTGTTAGAATCATAATTGAAATTGAAACAAGTTCATAGACCATGTACACCAGGTTTCATGAGAGCACAAGGAATTTCACAAAATGTGTATGATACATGTGTATGTGTGAAGAAGTTAAATAATGGAACCTTCAATTTCATCATTCTAGTATATGTCTTGAAAGACATGCTCATTTTGATTCAAAACCAATCCAATTGATGGGTGCAAAAATGAACTTAAGTCTTCAATTCTGATGAAGGATTTGGTTAGATTGAAGAAGATATTACTTATGAATGTACATAGAATTTTTTAAAAAAAAAATTTATAATTAAATTTAAACAAGTGCTTTGAACATGTGTTTGATAGGCTGAAAATGACAAATTCTAAAAAGATATGGAAATCTTTTCCGGCACATCTCAAACTTTTTGCAATTCTATTCCAATTTTTATTGAGAGTAAAAAATTTCATCATTTTTTTAATAATAAAGTTGTGAATGATCTCATGTATTTAATGGTATGCACAAAATTTGATATTGCTTTAACTATGGGCAAGGTAAAATAATATATGTCAAATCCAAGAAAGTTGCATTGAAAAATAGTGAATGTAGTTTTAAATAGCTGAAGATTACTAAAGATTATGATATTTGGTTTAATGTATCACTAACCAATAACAAGTTTTCACTAGGCTACATTGATGATGACTATGAACAAGATCTAGACAAGAAACAATTTATAACTAGATACATTTACTCATGATAGTTGATGTATTTGTTGAAGATCTATTTTGCAGAATGCGCGATTGAGTCCAAAATGGAAGTTGAATATGTAGAAGCAGTTGAAGCAACAAAAAAATTATTTTGTTGAATATGCTTATCACTAAGATGAAAGTGAAACAAGATATTATCAATCTTTTTTATAATAGTTATAATGTGTTACATCTTGTTGCAAATCAAGTTGTGGAATGCTAAATGAAACACATCAATATCAAATTTAACTTTATTAAAAATGTTATTTTTGATAAAAGATTGAATGAATCAAGATTAACACTAAATTCAATCTGGTTTATGTGTTGATCAAAGTTATTTATTCAAAAAGATTTACTTTACAGTTTACTTCTTTGCAGAATTTGTATAAAAAGCATCATTAGAATAATCTAGAATTTTTTTACCATTATATATTAGGACTCTATTATGTTTTGACTATAGCTATGTTCTAATTAACTGTACTTCATAAAGAGATATATATTAGAACTCATACTATAACTTTTTGCAAAGTAATTATATAGATTTTAGAGTATACTATTAACATGAGTTTAGGAAGATATTGTCAATAATTAATTCAGTTTTATTTTAACTTAGGTAGTTTAGCCCTAGTAAGGATTTAATTTATGCTGTAATTGTAAAGTAGAGCTAGCCAAAATGATTAGCAAACACTTTAAAGGTTTGCCAATAAAACTTTTATTTTGTTCTCGTGAACATAATCTGTAGTGGCAAATCATGTACTTCAGTGTTGGTGTTTTGGTGTGTGCTAGTGAATACTTAATATTTCTTATTTATACTCATCCATTATTTGAAATCCATATTAAATCATATATAAAAATTATAAAAGATACATATAATAAATAAACATGACCTTCCATGTTGTAACAGCCTTCAATGTTGGTGTTTCAGTATATGTTTGTGAATTCTTGATGTTTCTTAATTACACTTTACCAGGTTTTGAAAGCCATATTCAAGTATTTATGAGAATTTCGAAAATGTGTACATAGAGTGTAAATTTTTTTTCAATCAAAATGCAATGAATAACATAAAATTTCTACAATAGCAGTGAAAATGTTAAATGTGTCAATTCCACCTGTCTGATAAATCTATCAAAAGCTCATAAATGCATGACTTCTGATAATTGTGTCGGAGTGTTAAATTTATCAATCCCATTTACCCAACAAATTTTCTATAGTAAACCGACTAAAACTTTCAGAAATATGATCCCTAAGAAATCATGGCATTGTATGTAAGAACCTCAAAGCTTGCGTAATATTTATACGAACGAGATATCACTGCCAGTTTTTCTTATATATTATGTGAAAAATGATCAGAACAGAGACAACCATAGTTTTATAAAACGCAATTGCTCGTCGCATTTAAAAAGAGTAGACCGTGATATTGGCATATGAATATAACACATGATAACCTATAAACAAACTTTCTAGCTCTAATTATCACTGTATGCGCACTCTAATCAAGTTGCGAAGCTGCATGTCAAGCTGATCAAAGAACAATAATTGTGCAAAAATTATAACTTTGAAACAAAAACGTCTCTTCACGATGTACTTTTGGGTTCAATCAGGTCAAGGAAATCTTTCACAAGATCATCCTTTGCATCATGATCCATTTTATCATTGCAGGTTGCACAAGATTCGCATGATTCCCATATTTCTATCCAGATATGCATCTTGAAGTTCAAAGTTTCTTCCAAACAATTTTACTGCTTTCGCTTGACCAATTCTTGACATGTTCAAACATGTATTGCAGAAGCTACCTACACTCATTGCGCTTCTTCTTGAACGGAGTTTTCATTTCCCAAGCTGTTGCACTATTTTTCCTAATTGATGTCGAATTTATCTGCACAGAGGAAGGATACGAAGAGTACCCGCGCACGTGTTTGCTAGATCCGGGGCATGGGAACTCGTAGATTTTTGGAGTTCCTAAAAGACGAGGGGAATAAGCCATTCGTCGTGAAGGTCGTTTGTGGCAAAGTCTCCGAATCGCGAAGAGAATTTGCCACATGGCACTAACTTTGTTAACAACGCTGCCTGAAACCCATGAAATCGCGTGTAAAAAACCCCTAATATAAGTGGAACCGAGGATGCATCGTTGCATTGAAACAAGTCAACCCCAGCAGAATTTATTCTTGTCTGATGCCGCTGGAAGAGACTTCTACCTTAATGGTGTCATAACTGAGCGATGGATCGAATCAGCCGATAAAACATGCACTGCACTGCACTACTCTGCTCTGCACTGTGCTCTGTGCGCTTCTCTCTTTTCTGCGAGAGCAGCTGTTCTTCCCTCTTTAAAGGGGCACCAGCGGAAAGATGGAAAGGCGTAGCCCCAAAGATTCTCGAGGACCAAAAGTGCGCGCGACCAATGGTCCACACTCCATCCGCGGCCATGAAAAGAACGCCGGCCTGCCTGCCCGCCCGCCCGCCCGCCCGCGCGACGAGCAAACGTACGTACGTACAGCACAGAGCTCCCTCCACTACTGTACCGTACAGGGGAGTCGACGAACTGATGGAACTGAGGACGGAATGATGGCTGGCCCATGGCTGGATGCGCTTCCACCGGGCCGTCAAAATGATGACCATCGCTGGAGCCGCCGTCAAGGGTCACCGTTCGTTTCCCGTGTCCGTCTGTCGGCCTCCGCCGGGTCCCCCCGTTGCTTCCGTCGTTGCCGTTCGTCCTCCTGGGAGCGAGCTATTACTGGCGATGGCAGTGCGCTGCATGTCCTTCGGGCAAATGCCGTCCCACGGCAGACACGTGGCGAAAACCGCTGTGCGACTAGCTTTTTGTTTGTGCATGTCCGTCGAGGCCCGACAGGGTGAGGACGGACATGGCTGCCGTCCGTCCGTCCGTCGGCCTGGGGAGGAGGTGAGAAAAGGGTCCGAAAGGAGAGTCGGTTTAAGAGGCAGCCGATAACTGCTAGTGCGAAGTCCGTCCTCATCCACCTTTGCCATAAAGAGAGCTACAGTCAAAGACGACTTATGACTGGAAAGGCCGACGGGTGTACGTGCGATCCAGTCAGAAGATCGGAAGGCTGTAAATGCAGGCGCAGGCAAGCTGGCAAGCGAAGTGTCAGACCAAGCACGAGAGGCCTGATCTGCTGATCTGATCTGCCTCCAGAGGGCCCCCCCCGCCCCCCGGCCACCCCCCTCCCCGGCCCCGTCCCCGTCCCCGTCCCCTCCCCCAGACGACGGACGACGCGCACGAACGGCCCGCGGCTTCAAAGGCCGCTGCCCTCCACGGAGCCCGCTCCTCTCTCTCTCTCTCTGCGTTTAGTCGCATGCTTCGTCGGCCTTTCTTTTCCATCCTTCTTCCCTCGGCGGTCTCTCGCCATCTGCACCAGCTCCTGCTCCTGCTCCTGCCGCGGACGACGACGACGACGAGAATTTGACGAAGCATTTGCGAGCACTGCTGTCGCTGTCGCTGTTGTTGGTGTCGGCTGGAATCGAATGGTGGTGGAGACTATTGTGGATCGGGCATTGAAGATAGGAGGAGAAAGCTCAAAAAATCAAAACAGAACAAAATAGGGAGCGAGGGAGGAAGGGAGAGCGCATTTTCTGGGTCTGTCTCAATTCGCACCGTAAATCATCGAGAGCGGACTTGTATATATTTTTATTTCGCTTGGCGTGATTTGGACTTGAGCCGGGGCTTCTGCGAAGGTGTTCTGCTGGCGGCTGCGCTGCTGGTGCCGGGGGCGTTTTGTTTTGTGCGCGGTGGATCGGTGCTCGCCGAGAGTCTGGCCATGAGAGTACGCAATTCTTGGCAAGGTTTTGGCATATTGTGTGAGTCGGGTCGGCGTCGTCAACTCGTCCGCCCTCTGGATGTCTGTCGCTCTCCGAGTGAACTCGCTGCTTCCGCCGCCCGCCAACAAGCTCCTTGTCTCCATTCGGGCTGGTCCTTCAGTTCGCAATTTCCCGGGTGCAGCCTCGGCACAATCGACAGCATAGTAATCTCGGACCACTCTCTCGTCGTCGGTCTTTATGTAACCACTCCCCATCGTCCTCTTCTTCGTTCTCTTCCCCTTCACCATTAGACATTAGCTTCGAGCACGAGGAGCGAGCAGCGGAGCCCCAGCCCGTGAAGCAACGTTTTGGTACAGCTGCAGTGAAGCGGCACTTCTCTTTTCTGGCTCGACTCGACCTCTGCACTCATCGAGTTATATCAGTGACTGACGAAGCACGCACGGACGCAGCCATATTCTTCTGGGAATCGTCGACTTTCGGTCGACCGCTCAACCCGATGACTATCCATGAGCAGGAGTTGTTGCTGCTAGGTCGGTCGAGACTCGGGTTCTGACAGCTTCTGGACTCGACTTGTCAATTTAGTTGTATTACGGAAGGGGGAGGGAAGGGGAAAGGTTCAATCGGAACAGCTGGCTCGATTCGATTCTGCTGCACGAGAGCGAGAGGGCAAGAGAATCGACCATGCCGACGTGTCGGTACCATCCCTTGGAGCCTGCCGATAGAGTGTGCGCCCCGTGCTTGACGTCGAAGCTCAATTCTTTGTCTCGCAGAGAAGGAGGAATTCGCCGGTTCGTCGACTCGTTTCACACTTCAGCGTACCCGGACGAGGAGGATTTGCCGATATTCTCTCTGCACGGCTTCGGCTGCGAGTTGGAGAAGAAGAATCCCGGCGGCGGGACGATTTCTTCTCTTCTGAGAAGCGAATCGCACCGAGAATCGGCAGTGTCGGCCAATGCTTTCTTCTCGTGCGGCTCCGAGATGTCCACTCGGCTGTCGGCCGATACGCACAGCGAGGTTGACATCAAATCTGCCGCAGCAGCCACGCCCTTGCGCAAATCCGATAGTCGCAGATACAAGGTGGAGCAATTGAGCGCCCATTTCTCCGACCTGGGAAGCGACTCCTCCAACGCGGTCGCCGCGGCTGCTTCTTCCGGCAGCTTCAATCTTCCTGCTGCTGCTGCTCCGCTTTTCTCAGCCCACTCGACGCACTTTGCTGGATCCGATGCGGAGATTCTTCAAGGGCTCGGGCAACAGAGTCACCACCACCACCATCATCACCAGCATCTAGGAGCATTTTCGGATCGAGGGTGCATATCGGATCTGATAACTCGGGAGAATGACGTCAAGTACAGAAAGCCGTGCAGTTTCGGGCAGAATTTAGCCAAGAGAGCCGAGTTGAAGGATCCGAGCCACAGCCATGGAATCTGTCTCAAGACTCCAATTTGGAAGTTCAAGCTGTTCTCGAAGTCGAGCCCCATCTGGCGGCTCGGGCTCAAGGGCAGCAAGGTGACGCCGAGCACGAGCAAGCGAGATGTGGAGATGGACAACAGAGGCTCGCACAAGGAGGCCGCGAGGCACAGCAACACGCGCAGACTGATCGCGTCGCCGCCCGACGATTCGGTGCGCCTGTGGTGCCCGAGTCCCATGGTGACCTTCAAAGAAGGCTCGTTCCGATGGGGCAAGTCGTTCGACAAAGGAAGCGGCTCGTGCCGCAAGACGGGCCGCGACGAGCCCGACGCCCTGCAGGCCGAGAGCGAGCCGCAGCTCCAGCAGCAGCAATCGTCGACGGCGGGCGTGTTCCGGCGCCTCTTCGACCTCACGCAGCGACGCGGGACCAGCGCCAGCCGCTCGGAGACGGAGAGCACGGCCTCGTGGAACGGCACGCTGCGAGCTCAGGAAATGCCTCCGCGCTCGCAGTACGACGAGGAGCAAGCGCAGCTCGCCGCCAACATCCTCAGCTGGATGGACGGCGCCGCGGCCACCGTCGGGCAGCCCGAGCCGCCGCAGCCCGCCCACGCCAGCGCTAGCGCCAGCGCCTGCTCGACGATGGCCGGCAAATCTGCGGAGATGTCTCGATTCCCCGAGCCCGAGCTCGTGGTCCGATAGACGATCGTCGTCGGCCACCATCGACATCTAGACGGGCTCTAGGCTTGCACCTCGGCAGCCTCTCGAGGAGGTTTTGACAGATTCCTCTCTGTTCTGCCCTCTCTACCTCCCCTCCCCTCCCCTGCCCTCCCGTCTCCTGCTCTCTTTCTCAACATCAGAGATTTCGTTGGGCTCTGTCTGTCTTTCTATCTGTCCGTCTGTCTCGTGTCTGAGCTTTCTACGTGCGAGGGATCTTGGAGCTGCCCTTCTGCACTCGTGCCGAGAGTTGCACAGTAAGAGACTCTTAAATTATCTGTCAGCGTTGCCGAGGTGATCTCGCGTCTCTGTTCTGGGTGAGCCTAGTATGCCGATTGCGGGCCGGCATTGGTCACTCGAGGGTGATACTCTCGCGTCGAAACGGGCTCACTGTTTCCTGCCGATGAACTCAACCCCAGGACCTCGTTACGTGTGCGCATTAATGCAACGAGGCTCGAAGTCTGGCCGGGTTGACGATGGGCCATGCTGCGGAAGTACGAAGGGAGAACAGAACAGAACAGAGCGGTGCGTGCGCGCGCGCGTGCTCGATCGAGTGGTTATCATCGACGAGCCGAGAGCGACACGGCATTGCGAACCTGCGAGCCAGCGAGCCAGCGACGGAACGACGGAGGGCTCTGTAGAGTGTGCTTTGCGTGGCAATCTGAGCACCGGCGAATCGCCTTGTCCTATACATTATTGAATTATTTTGCTCTTGCTGCTATGTGCTTTGAGATGCTTGGAAGTCGGTAGACACGAACAACCAACAACAGCAACCGATGCTCCGACTTCTCGTCAAGGATTCGATCCGTAGAGACTGTCAACGATGTCATGCCATACTGTCTTGCATCATTGCAGTCGCCGCCTGTAATCGTACATATATGTAAGGAATTTGAAAGTTCAGCCCAGCTGCTGCGTTGGGCCGAGCTGCCTGCCTGCCTTCTTGAAGCTCGTGCTTCTGTAGGGATGGATGTATAGAACCATTTTGCTCTGAGTCTACGACTTTCATGCCCAAAATCTCTTGTGTCCTCTATTCTTTGGGAGGCACGCCGCCGCACCTCAGTAAAACAACTTGTTTGCTACTGCCATTCACCGTCGAGTCTCGTCTGGTGCACTCCCTCCAGAGAGCCCAGCGTCATTGAAAATGTGTGAATGATCGTGTCACATTCAGTCTCGTCCATCACTCCTAAGAAAGAAAGAGAGAGAGCAGGGTGCAAGCATACGAGCAGGATGGGAGAAGTGAGACTGAGCCCGAGCCAGGTGTCATGGTCTGCCATGAAATCAACTTCTGACATCCTGGAGATGGAAGGGAACCTTAGCTTCAGCTTTGCCGACCGGGACCGTAAGCGGACAAGGAGTGTGCGATTGCTCCTGCAACCAATCGATCCTCTGCCAACGATAGACTAGCTGGAAACCGCTCACGAGCACCAATGGATGAGGAGGTCCGACGAAATGAAAATTCGTTGGTCGATTGGATTTGACTGTTGTCAGGCGCTAGCTAGTTCAAAAAGGTTACTCGCCACAACCAACTGCAGTACTGGCGTTGAAGAAGTCTTAATGGCGGGTCCATCGAGAGTGGGTGAGTGGGGCTGGCCTGGCCCTGCCCGCTTCGCCATTGCGGGTACAGTCGGACGGGCTGGCAGGCTGGCGGACAACAGTAGCACTCACACTCGCATCTGTTCAGACGACAAGTACTCGGTACCCCCTACTCCGTCCGTCTCTCATCCCATCCTTCATTCCTTCGAAGACGTTGGCAGTGCATCGCATTCACAGCCAGTCATCGACGGCACGCACAACGATAGCTCGACAAGGTCTCCGTGTATGTCCATAAAAAAGTCTCCCCGATGCGTGAATCGAAACTTTCCAGCATAGGCCACTTAATGACCGAGACTGACGGAGAGACAGAGGAGGTGCAAATGGCTGCTTTTGCAGGCGGGCCGGCACGCAGCCTCACCCTCCTCACCAGCACCGATACGGATATTAAACCCTAGAGTAATGAGAGCAGGATTGCAGTTGCACCGATGAGGTGCTTTCGAGCCAAGCCCCCATGAACCACTGCTCGCGGGCCACCATGACCATCATCATCCACAATCGACATAGCACAGCAGCACAGCACGATGATGACGATTCCAGGCAAAGAAGATGCTCTCAATATCCAGTCAGTCGCCTGGCCGGCTGGTTATAACCATAGTTTTAATGTACATAGAACAGGGAATGACCGTCCTCTGCTTCCTCCACTTAGTACTGAATGAAGGTTGAAGGACGCGGAACCCAAAGAATTACAGCGCTTTCGAACGAGACGGTAGCTCGTTTGGAAGAGTGAATGAAACACATGAAACGCAATTTCCGACAGGTCATTCCAGCACTGATTCTCTAACTAGACCGTAATGCTAAAGTACAAGAAAAGGATTCCTAGCCTTCTCTTTAATTAGTATATTGCAATGTTTTGTGTATACAGATTTTTAATATCACCCCGTTCTCAAATCAGCAGCAGGCCATTTTGGTTTTGTACACAACACAGGGGAGCCGAAGCTCGTGGGCAGGAGGGCAGCTTCGGTCACACTTCGGATTTAGACCACACTCGATGGTGACCCTTCGCCACAGATGCAACCCTCGATCCTGACAAATGACCATCCCCTGGCCTATGCCTCTGCCTCTGCCTCGTGGGCGAACAAGTTTCATGTTGCGAAGGAGGAACCCTGTGTAGATGGAATGAATCATGCCTCTAGTGCTAAAGGGACGACGGAACTAATTTCCATGATGATCAGAAATCTCTTTCTTGCAGGTTCAAAATTGCTCATACGTAAGCGGTAAGCGGTATTTCGTGGTTAGTTCTGGCCCTGGCCCCCACACTCTCTCTCTCTCACTCTTTCTCTCTCCCTCCTCTTTCTCTTCTCAAGATGATCACTCACCTAAAGGTCGTCATGTCAAACGATGGAATGGAAGTATGTAAATAAGGAAGGAGGCATTTAGTACTCTGTGCTCAGACTCTGCTCTGGAGTTGTCATCGTGCAATGCATGAATGAATGAGCGAATCCAAACTCATCTCTACAATCAATCAACTGGAGCCCGCTCCGTTCGTTCTGATTCGTTTCGATGCCATTCCATTCCATTCCATTCACCTCGTGTTCACTCCACGTTGAGGTGAAGCTTTGGAGAAACTGCGCCAGGGGCTGGTATTGAAGCTGTTGTTGACCGGTGAAGAACGACGGCTCAACCTCTTGCCCAATCGGATGAGGGACGAGAATCGACCTTCCTTCTCGAAAGAGCCAGTCTCCCCATTTTTCTTGGACGGCACGGTCTGGGCGGACCAGGCAGGATCCGTCAAGCATGAACTCCACGAGCTGCTTCGACTACGCCTACTGCTATTGCGGGACAACGTTCTCTGAGGACTCTTGCTGCTGGATCTCGATAGAGACGCCCTCTGCTGGCTGCTGCTGCGCGAGAGCGAGGACTTGGGCGGGCTCGACTTGGGTGAGCACTCGTCCACTTCCGCATGCGACAGCACCGTCTCGCTCGCGGTGCCATTCGTGAACTCGTCCCCGAAAGGCCCCGGAGGCCCTTCCCCTCGGCCTCCCTCTCCCTCGGTGCCCTCGGTGGCCAAATTCAGAGTCGACGACGTGTTGTCGTTGGTGGATGTGGGAGACCTGGGCCGGGCCTTCTGCGAGTCCGTGTCCGAGAACGACGGCGTGTGGTGATGATGGTTCTGGTGATGGCCGCTGCCGAACATCCCTCCTCCTGCTGCGGCTGGTGCGTCCCCGCTCCGGCGAATGTGCGGCTGCGGGGAGGATCGAGGCCAGAGAAACTTCCTGCGCATGGAGGGCGACATGGTGATGTTCTTCCAGGGGCTGCGCTTGGCGCTGGCGCCGTTGTGGTGGCCAAGGCTATCGTCTTTGTGATCGGCATCCGCAGCCTCGGGGGTCCAGTCGCCATCGCCCATGTCGTCCCCGGGCTCATATGCGTTGTCGGGCTTGTAGGCCCGGCCTTCCAGAAGCTCGTGGCGGCCCTGCCCTGCGTCCACTTCGTCTCCGTCCATGTAAAACAACGACCGCAAAGAGTTTCTGGCAGGAACGATCTCGGAGTCCGTGCTTTCCCGGGCGTACGAGCCCGCATCGCTGACGCTTCGGGTCGAAAGCTGCGCTTCTGCCGCTGCCGCTAATGCTAATGCTCCTCCGTTCTGCTCGATTCTATCCACCTGGTCGAGTTCTTCAATCTCCGAGATGACGCTCTTGCCTTTCGCAAGCCTGGAATTCGGAAATTCGTCGGAAGGACGCGAATTCGGGGATTGTGTACAGGCCAATTCCTCGTCCTCGTTATGGCCATCGTGGAAGTGATCGCCTGTTTCTCTACGACCGGCCTCTGCATCGCCACCACTCCGGCCCGTGGCATACTCTTCCCCATACCCACTGTCGGAATCCTGCTCGAACACCGTGGTGAGCTCCTCCTTGCCGAGGAAATTGATATCCGCCGAGCCAGAAGCCAGGGAGTCGTCGTCATCATCCTCCAAATTCATGGGCTCGCCTCCCCCGCCGCCTCCGCTACTGCGGTCGATCCAACTCGGGGGGCTTCTGTTGCCTTCAATTTTGCTCCTCTCCACCCAGTCGTACGCTTTCTTCTGAGCTTCCGACACCGGGATGAAGTCGATGATTCCGCCGGTGCCGCCATCTCCGGGGTGGGAGACTTCCACGTAGTGATCGCACAGGCTCATGGACTCGTCTCCGTCCCAGTAATCCACAGAGATTCGGCCATTGGGAAAGTACGAGTCTCTGTGGTCTCGCTGCCTGCCATTATACATGTAGGGTCGAGCGGCCCTGCTCCGGCCGGTTCCACCCGGTGGCACGGACAAGGACAGCTGCGAGTCCAATCCCGTCAATTGTGGTTGGCTCATGATTCCATACGAGTAAATCGACAGCCTCCGGTGCCGCAGCTTCTCGTGCGAAACGTGCGCGTCCTCTCTTCTGAGAGCGGCGTTGATGTTGTGGTGCTTCCCTCCCGATTGTGGGAAACAGCTGTTCGTGCATGGCGTCGGCCTGCCACTCGACTGACCTAAATCTTCGTCGTGAGGCACCGTCAGCGGGTAGCACTGATGAGCATCGGCTTTGCTCTCGCCCTTTACGACCTTCTTCTTGCCTATCTTCCACAGGTTGCGCCCGCTGCCGTGATGGTGATGGTGGTGGACGTGATTGCTACTGGTAGGCGCTGCGTACACCGAAGCGAACGGGAGCTTTGCCAGCCCAAGCTGCTCCCAACTGCGATTCCTCTCGTAGCTATGACTCGCTGCTGCTGCTGCTGCGCTGGTCTTGCGCTGCTGCTGCTCCGAGCGCCAATCTGCTCTGTCCTTGTCCCTCACCCTGTCCCTATCCCGATCCACGATGTCGTAGTCAGCCAAGCGCTTGCAACCCTCCTCCACAGAAACCAGCGTCGAGAAGCTGACGTCGTCTCGTCGGCTCGATCTGCCCCCGCCGAGCTGATGATGGCTTCTGCTGCTCGATTCCGAATAGCGCCGGCTGCGAAAGTCGCACATGTCGACGCTGTTGAAGACGGGACGGGAGCTCGCTCGCTCGTGGGCATCGCTGACGGACCTCAGCCCTTCGCCTGCACCTGCGCCCGGTCTGGCGCCCGCAGCGCCGTAGTCATCCTTCTTCTCAGATTTCCAGAACACAGTCCACGACTGCCTCTTGCTGCCCGAGCGAGAGAAGTAGGAGGCCGGACTTCCCTTGCTGGTGGAGCGCGAGAACTTGCCACTTTTGGGCTCGGCGTCCATGAGCGAGTGGATGGTCTGCCCGGGCTCTCTCTCGGCGGGCGGGGGCTCGGCTGCGCTGATTTCACATATTTCTCTGCTGCTGCTAGCGCTAGCCTTGCGTTGCTCCATGGACATAGACATGGACGTGGGCTTGGCCGCGTCGGACATGTCGAATCGGCGGGCATCGCCGTCCTCGTTGTCGAGGGCGGGCATTGCCAGGGCCTTCGTGGCTTTGCGGGACGCCTCGAAAACTCTCTGCTCAACGCTGGCAATGGACCTGATGGAATGCTCCCTGTCCCTGTGGTGTGCGCGATCTCTGCCCCGGGGCCCCTCATAATTGGTGGGGATGGCGTAGTCTGTTTTGATGAGAGATGCGATGGTGTCCACAATTCTGCCACCTTTGGTCAGCCCGTGCCTGCTGATGGACGACGACGTCGATGCCCCTTCTTTCCACAAGAAATAATCCTCTGATAGACTGCTGCTTTTCGCAAATCGCCCCCTGTCCGACGTCGGTGTCTCCTTGTTCAACCTATCGCTGACACACGATGCGCATACTCCTACTGTACCCTCATAAGGGTGCCTTGCGCATCCCATTCTCTGTCCTCCTCGAGACCGATCACCGTGCTTTACTCATCTCTCTCTCTCTCTCTCTCTCTCTCTCTCTCTCTCTCTCTCTCTCTCTCTCTCTCTCTCTCTCTCTCTCTCTCTCTCTCTCTCTAAAATTCCTATCACATCCGAACAATCATGTCTGTCAGTGTAGCTCAACCTGGTTTGCACTCAACAGCTAGAGACATGGCCACACAGATCGTAGATACCAACTCCTCGCAGGAACAACACGGTGTGAACATCGGTCAGCTTCGAGGATGGCAAAGCAGATAGAAACGGTAGATCTGCCTCCACATTTGGTGGAACGAATTACGGGGCATGCTAACGTTGGGTGTTACGCATGCAGAACGTCGCATACACAGGACGTGATTAACCACAAAATATGACGGTCGGCCCCTGCCTGCTGTGCATTTAACTCTATCCTGGCCACCTAAACCTTACTTCTCCGGCTTCGCTTCACCCCGTTCGCCTTGTAATCCTCCTGGAAACAAGAGAGAGAGAGAGAGAGAGCGAGAGAGCAGCCGATGAAGTAAGCATCAAATCAAATTACCCTTCGTTCCTAGTCTGTTTTCTGAAGCGGAATCCCACACGCCGACGTTGCGCGCTATACCTGCTACTCAGGTACTTCTTCCACAACCCCTAACCGAGTTATGAGATACCGAGACAATGCTCTCTCTCTCTCTCTACTTTCATTCATCGATGAAAGAATCGATCCTTGCAGAATCAGTCCTTGTAAACGCCAGCTGCTGTTAGCGACTCTTTGCCCCGGCGCAAGACCACTTCTCTTCCCTGTCTGTCAAAACCTTCTTCGCTACTGCGCGGCACAGCTCATTTCCCTCCTCCCCTCTTCTCGCTCTTCTCGTCTCTCCACTACTCTGTTTTCATCGCCCGCCCCTGCGCCAGACAGGCAGTCCAATGCACTGAGCCGCACTGCATTCATTCCTTCTTCTCTTACTCCATGCTCGTCTACTCCCTGCGTCACCAATCAACTGATTTGTTCGACAATTCCATGGCCCGCGGCCGCTATCGGGCCTGGCTGTCCTTAATGGCGACCCAGCAGCTGGCCTCCATCCAGACGCACCTTCCTCCCCGTCTCTCGCACACTCATCTCAGTCGCTCTGCGCTGCCCTGCCCTGCCCTGAAACCTCGTCCCGTTGCTGCATCTCGCTCGTTTCGTGTTCACCGTCCTCCCTTTTTCTCCGGCGCGGGTGGTCCGGGCTGGGCTACGTCGGCTGTCGCGTCCGTACGCTCACCCGGACCAGCTCAACCTGACCCGCCTCGCTACAAGAACATTTTCCACCGCTACAGCAGTTTGTCCCATCGTTTCTCCGCAGCCGCGTTGTACAGTATTCCTTGGCTTGGAACATACGCACCCGATCCAGACTCCGCATTTCTTTAATTCCACGGTCCCACGGCGGTACGAGACCTCCATACACTTTATTAGGACTTTCTCGACAGTCCTCTCTGTCCAACTCGTCGAGACCTCGAGCTGCTGTTGCCTCTTCTTCGTCATTTCTGTTGGACTCTCGTGAGTCAAGCTCTTCGGCCACTGTGGGGCGACCCGCCTCAGCTTGCACATTTCGTAAACTCCCTCATGCTGAACAGCACGTCCATACGCTACGTACGGCTGCCCCCTCTTTCCTTTGTGAGTTCTCTGTCATCTTTTCTTTTCTTCCCTCTCGTTTCTCTCGTTTCCCCGGGCTTCGGCTATTTGAGCCTCGGGGGAGCAAGTCTTCGCCTTATGATACGATATACCAGCTACGTGCTTCATCGGCTCCTGTCGAGCGTTATGCCTCGTCACCTCCTGTGATATACGCCCCTTTCCAGATTTGTCAGATCAGGACACAGACTGAAGGCTCCGGAAGTGTGTCCAATGTCCATGTGAATCTGAGCATCTCCACAGGCGCCTTGCGGACGGACTCTTTCTTGTCTGCGAGATAAACCCATGTTTAACTCCGTGTGTGTGGACTCCTGTCTGTGACCAAGTCAATACAGTCCAGTACGACTGTAGATTCTCTAAAGGAGATCTGGACAACTTATCATGCTACAAAGTCATCGTCCTACGTTTTCTTTCTTATTAAAAGTCGAACAAACAAACAAAAGAGAGATACATAGATACTAAGTAACTTCAAAAAAATGAAACTGGAGAAAATCGATCGGAATACGTAAGAAGGCTCTCGCTTCGCCTGCCCTCCTGGTACGTAGAAGACACACGTGATGTTTATCGTTTAAGACAAGCGAAATGATAACCTGTTCGGGGTCGATGAGCTTGTTGTAAATGCAGCTATATCTTCTACAATAGCAACCAACAGCTGCACGATTCATGGCAGTGACGCCAAATAAATCTATTTCACTTGAGAACCATAAAGTCAAGTCAAGCCTCGCCTCCTCTCGCGTCTCGTCTCTTGCACTTTCAAAGTGATTCATCCAATCCAAATTTAGAGATCACGAGTCTTCCACATTCTTCGCTGGTCCATCATCTTCAACAGTCCCCTAACCTTGAATGCGCTAGATGCGACCATGGCACACTAGCACACTGAATGTAGGTGTGTGGTCCCAAGGTTGCAAGAGTCGTCGAGAGAGAGAGACGAAAATATTGTCAACATGTCTGAAATATGGGCCTTTGTAGGTGAAAGATGGCGTACACTAAGATAATCTCTCAAAGGTCCCATTAATGAGACAAAAGGCGAAGAAATCACTCTCTGTACTTTATACTTAGAATCGCATTCCATGTGTATGCCAAAAAACTTGCTACTTGACTACGGTTTGTAAAGTGCAGTCATTCGTGCCCTGTTACGGAATGGATGAACAGAAAATCACCTTCATCCAGAAGCAAGCCACGTATATAATCAAGTGATTTTGAATTCCAGGAAACAACTTTTAATCTCGAGACCACTATATTGCATCGTCCGCTGACCGATAAGAGCGCACACACACACACACGATACATTACTTAAATGTGTAAAGCTGATGCGACCATAACGTAAGGTCAGGCAAAGCAGCTCGAGGAGTCAAAATATGTCAAACTTGGAAATTATCCCAGTGTCAAGAACGAACGTTAAACAACAATCACTACAACCAAGCGAACCGCTGTCTGATCCGCACTGCTGTGCTCTGCTCTGTCAATAATGGACGTTCATTAGTTCCCACATGCCCTCTCACCCACTAGCTCCAACAGAACAGCTGGAATACAAGGACCAAACTTCACCAAAGCAGCCTCTTCGCTGTACGCTGCTCATTCCTCCTTTTTCTCCTTTCCTTCGTAGGAGAGTGACTCACTACTACTACTACTACTCCTGCTGCTTCTGCCGCCGCTGCGGTCAGTCGAGCAGAAACAGTAACAATAATTAAATATAAAACCAAAAGAAGAGAAAAGCTTGAGTCTTGAAGGGACGAAGAGAGGAAAGTTGTGGCTTTTAGGTTTCAGTTATACTGTGGCGGAGGGGACAGCAAAAAGTCTATGTGCACATTCTACCTCGTTGACAACGGCGACCTCCGAACACCACACCGCACCAAACCATAACAGCAACAGCAACCCTACAGGACAGTACTGTGGAGGTGAGTGCTTGATTCTTCCCAAATCTTTCTTTCTTTCTTTCTTTCTTGCAGCTTGATTACTTGTCATGCACTCATATGACCGCTTTAAGATAGACAGCATCCGACCTCGCGGAAAAGCCTTCTCTCAACTTGCTTTGCCCCTTTCTTCTCCCATGCACAAAGGAGCGAGAGAAGGATTTATGTTGTCCCACCACCGCCACCACCTGGAAGACATTCCACACATCAAGATCATATGTCGTTGTTGACCGGTTGCTGTAGATGGCCGATGTTGTTGTTGCTGTTGTTGTTGCTGCTGCCGCAAAATGTCATCGATCCCTCCTCTTTGTCCGCTCTCCGAGAACGTAGTCATAGGGCGGGCACCAGACGCTGGTGCCTATCACATACATGCACACGAGGCCCTTTATTAATTAATCCATACTTTCCCCGAACCTTGCACCTCGTCGCCCGACGCTAACCAAACCTCGGAAGCAATAAAATCGACCTTTTGCTCAAATCTCCGCCGAGGCCTGAGCGTCGCCCGCCACTTTCTTGTCGTTTGAATAGGCGCAGCAGGCTACGCCCTCGGCCCTTTCTCATGCTGCGTGCCGGTCATCATGACGGAAAGCCTAAATCCAGAGCCTTGCTCCTTCCTTCGGCATTCGAGCCCGCCGTGTTCTTGTACGGAGCGCCTTTCACACGAGTTTCGGAGAGCACTGTTCGAGACGGCGTATACCAGACGATTCTCGTACCGCATACCGTATTCCGGTCCGCGCATACGTTTTACCATCTGACATTGGGGATTTTAATCCCGGAAAGGAGTGGTTCCATGCGCAGGAGCGGAGATCACTTTCGGCCAATGGTCTGCCTTTCGCTCTAGGGTTCTATGATTTCTGGCCCGAAGAAAGATTCTCGAGGAACGCCATCTTTTTCGGAACACATAATTCAGGCTCCACCGAATATTCTCGAGATTTTGGGCCGGAGGCCATGGAATTAGCGTTTCTGCCCATAATGCTGCAGGCTGAGGTAGGTACCAATGATGGCTAATCCATCCGGCTCCATCGACGTTGGATGATTGCCCCGCTCCCTTCTTTCTCTGAACTATTCATCGATCGAGTGGTTTCACTGCACAGCCCTCAGACAGCATCTCGGCTCGGGGAATAATCGCCGGATCATCGCCATGTCTGGATTTAACAGAGAATTTAACGTGCTAATGCGGACTGAGGCCGGCCGGGCTCATGTAACATTCCCGCCCCTGACTATACGATACAGAGATTTCGAAGCTTCTCATGGTATCGCGGCCGTCCATCCGTTGACCTCGGGGCTCGTACGGTATGATCTCTGGCCTCGGGCTGTTGAATTTGTTTGTACTGTATCATGATTCATTAGAAGTGCATCGGGCGGTCGACGACTCGCGCTCTCCTTCCCCGCAAGGGGCGAAGGAAAATCGGGGCATATACCTTGGCCGACACGACTCGGGAGACATCTTCGTCCATTTGTTAGAACTTCAACTTCTGAGCTATTTTCTTTAAAGATGTCAACAGACCCAACGCCCAGACATGCTCGTCTAGGTCAACTGGTACTTATAACGTTGTCAGCTGACCATAAATATAAATATATATATACAATGCGGCCCGGGCTCCACTAATTCATGCCGAGGTGGACAAGCACGGGCAGATCTGGAAGCATGGATGAGGTGGGAAGCTGTTGAGCTGGACCAATTATGCGCATGTTTGGATGGGCGCTCCTTTCAGAAACCATCGACACTCAATTTAAATCCGCTACCGCAGGCACGTCGCGCCAGTGCCTAATGGCGTCTTACTCGCATCTTCTCACTAATTACACATTTTAAGTGCGACTGATTAGTTGGATCTGATTCTCGGAACGCTGCACCGTACATACTGCCGAGGTCAATGAGAAAGAAGGGACGTCCTGACGCGAGTGTTGTTCTGATTATAGGATTTATCTTGTTTTGACATTTCGGTGTACAGACCTGCAAACAACAGCAACAATTTTTTTTTCCTGCATTTCCTTCTTCTGAGCTCTCGTGCAAAAGTCTTTCATTCCATTGCTTGCCTACACAAGTCCGCTTATAATGTTCGACTTTCTACCACAGAGACTCGTCTGGCCAAAAACCTACAGCATGAAGATATGGCCGCAACAGAATCACGCGTCCAAAGAGCGAAAAAAATAAAGAGTATATAATTCTGTGAGTGACTTGACACGTAAGTTCCCTCATGTACTGTAGAGTGATGGAAACTAACAATAAACCCGTAGCAAGGAGTGAAGTAATAAATACAACGTGATTCATAATTATGATAATTAAGGTGATGATGAAACACTTGCAAAGTAGTAACAATAGATAATACAGTAGAGACCAAACCAAAATACAGCAATACCAAAGCAGTCATGCAATTGCAGTAAATATCATATGCGCAGTTATTAGACATAATGAAACAAATATGTAAATGAAAGATGAATCTGACTAAAACCTGGAAGTTAATCTTACTTTATATTGCTTAAATGACAGCAAATAGACACCAATATGTAGTCCTTCATATTTGAGAAAGAAAGACATAATTAAAAATATTTTTACAAACAGAATTTAATTTTAAAAAATTTAAAATTATAG